ACCCAAGACGTTATAAATCCTTTAGCGTGAATATGACACGTACACCCTACCCCACACCTAAACTTAGCCCTCACAGCACGTGTTATATTAACGATAACGGGTGCCATGTGCGTAGTATAGCGCCGTTTTGTCACTAGCGTTCTATATGACGTTAAAGGATGAGAATGCGTTGAAATAAAACAACACAAGTTGATCAATGTGCTTTACAATGTAAAACAAGCATCACACAACCAACACTTAAAATTGTACAAATTCTGTACAATAGCGGCGTCTCTAATATGTTTAGGCAAACTGTTCCAAAGTTTAGACGCTGATACAGCAAAGGCGCAATCTTATTTTTTACTCAGATGTGTCATAGGAATGCAGTCTGTTTATGAATAAGCAAACTATCTAATTACATGTAAACAGTTATCAAAGGGGCTGGGAAAAGGCTGCACAAACTTATGACAGATCGTGTGGTTTGTATTGATGCTAATCTGAGAAACAAGTCTGTGATATATCTATTTACTTGTACTTCTATACTTCTACAATTCTATGTCTATTTTGAAGAAAACATGCAACAATGGCCTGATTGTGATCATATGAAGTCACATAACCAAAATGTCTTGGGTCTAAAATTTAGAGTTGTCTTGGGCATTTAAAACCACATCATATCAATTTCGGTTTCCTAACTGTAATTTACCAAGTCAAACAATAAACATGCTCATACTCTGGCCCCAAAAAGCAGTTAAGCCCTCAATTGTGTACTGTACATCAACGGCATTGCATTAGAAAATATCAAACAAAGTGCCATTTGCAAACAAACAAAATAGCCATTTTTGCAACATCCACCTATTTGGCCGAAAGTAATTTTAGTGGATGTATGAAGTAGGACACAGTTGCACAGGTTTTTCATGAATATGTAAGGTATCGCTCTTTACAACGTCTGACTCTGACAAATAACAGTAATTAATATGTTTAGCCTTTCAACTTTGATGTTGAAAGCCAAATGTAACTGTTTTAACAATGTTTTAACAGCTTTAAGTTTTATGGTTTTAAGTTTTAAGTTTTTAAGATAGTTACAGTAATTTTAAAGTTCATAAATTGCGGCGTTGATGGTGTTGCCATAGAAATGCTTAATTTCGAGTCTCAGGAGAACAGCTCAGAGTAGGTCATTGGTTATCATCTCATAATTGGCATAATTATGAACGCAGCATAAGCTTAGTTCAGAAGAAACTGTAAAAGATGGCTGCTGTTTGTTTGCAGCGCTCTGTGACTGTTTGTCTACTGCTGCATCCCATCTTCAAAGGCCACATTTGAAGGCCAATTGGTGGGAGTCGGACGAAGGCTGTCCCAATTCGAAGGCTCCTTCAAATGCAGCCTCCAAATGTGTCCTACAATGTTTCCCGTGCAATGAAGGATAAAACAGATGGACCCTTCATGGCCTTGCATATCAGAATTCATTGCATGCCAGTGATGACAGAATATTATTTCAATTATGGCGCAAGCATTGGGTTTCAGCATGCATAAATATCTAATGATATAAAAATGTAAGCCGTTCATGTTGACATATCTTACTAAGATGCAATTATAAATCGTTTAAACTCTTTATTTTAGAGAAATGTACCATGGTGAACATATTTAGACAGTTTGTAAACCATGTCCAGTACAATCTGCCACTCATCATCAACAACTGTCACAGGTACTAGGCAACTAGACTGTCCCATTTAACAATGCTCAGTCCGACCTTCGAAGGATGGTCCCTCTGAATTTGTGAAACAGGTTATAACTATGCAGAGTCTTATGGAACGAGCTGATGACATGTGATGTCTGCGTGAGCAGGGTGTGTGGAGGTATGGAAATACAGGTTGACAGGCAGTATAGGACATTCAAATGCAAAGGTGACCATTAGTTTGGTCCTGACTGAGACTTCCACAGAAGATATGCACTTTTTCAATATATTTTATATTAAGACTACTTCTATTAGTGATTGCTATCAGAATGTGAAGAGAAAAAGAACCAGTAAAACAAAAAGTGTTTATGAAAAACATTGCCTATACCTTTAATGAGTCTGATACCCTTTATGCCGATCCATTTGCATTAAGATTTCCATTGTTAGAAATCCAGTCATACTATTGAATGGTCGTGCAACACTCTTTCATTTTCCCCTGAGACGAGAGAAATACGCTATTTACCTTTTTTCACTTCCTCCTACAATGACGCAAAAATCGTCATTTTACGTCATTGTAGGAGGAAGTATTTAAATTAAATACAGCAAATTACACAACATTTCATGTACATGTCATGAAATTTACACATTACAAATTACACATTCATTTCATGTCAGTGTTGCATAGCAGATATATCTTAGTGTAAACTTCCACTGAAAATTCATTTACAAATATAGATAAAGTTTCCTGCATGGTTTTGAACCTGTATCAGCATGAATAGCGGTGTCTGGTGCTGCTAATAGTGTGGGGAGGTTTGGATGAGTGGGGTTCAATATTTTCTATTTTTTTGTTCTTTTTTGTTGGCCTTATTGTTTGCATGTCCTCTTCCAAATGTTTCATCTCACTCTTAAAACCACAAGACAAATTGAAATTTTTTCCCTCCATTTTTTTAGCAATAGATCTCACTCTTGATCTTCATCAATTACAAACAAATACTTATGCATTATTATGACAATGATGACCATAAAACATTTAAGGAGCCCAGCACATGCACACAAAAAAAGATTAAACCCATTATTATAATTTTTACTAATGATTTACCAATACTGTTATTGGTTCAAATGCATAGCAGTAAGACAGAAAAGATCAGAACTAATTTTTTTAAAGAAATTTCAAAACATTACTAAAATATTAACAAAATTATTCAGAATTCGTAAAAATGTTAGTCTGAGACAATAGATTGCAAATCTGAAATAACGTGAAATGAAGTTTTTTTTTTCTGGTAGTATATAAGAATTAAAGTAATTCTTAAAGATGGGAATGATAAACCTCATTGAAACTCTTTTGGACAAGGCAAGACTGAACATTGCCGCCCTGCTGGCCAGTATATAAATGTCTGCATGCTTATCGAGATTTTTCTTTTTAATATCAGACTATATCCTTTCATCACCATTATAATTACAAAAAAAAAAAAAATAATAATAATAATAATAAAATGGGTTACCTGAGAATGACCCAAAGTTTCCAGTATATTAATATTTCATTCTCAAAGCACTGACATGAGAGGGTTTAGAGAGTTTGTTTGTATAAAGCACCTGAGATTTTAGTAAGAATATATGATGATATTCACTCACAGGCCATCCAGAGTTCTGTAGACTGTTGATGCTTATCAGCCAACAGATAAGTTGATATTCTGAGATTCATAATGACCTTCCAGGGGGAAGAAACCTGAAATAGGCACAATGCAATTTATGTAATACTAAAGATTCAATGTGTGTTCCCCATAAGATTATAATAGATTCACCAGGCCATGATCTCACTGCCCTGCACATGTACAACTTAGACCCTATCCGAGTAAGTATTTGAACAATTAAAAACTACATAAATAAATATAACTTACAACTGTTGAGCCTTGAGAACATACCTTGAATTCATTTTATTTACATATTTATTTTTCATATTTGATTTAAAACTCACTTTCTGGATGCAGATATTGAACACCCTCTGAGTCTTGTCAGCTGCAGCCTCCAGCTCTTGTCATAAGACTGTCTTTCACAGGGCTTTAATGATGTCTCTAGAAGAAAATGTTTTGTAGCGACATCGATACTTACTCTTTCCGGCTATATACTGTAGGGGGCGCTACTGCGCATCTTCTGAAAGAGTACAGAATTTCCCGATCAAAATACAGGCAAAAGAAGCAGAAACAAGTGATAAAAGTAGGCTATTTATTTTGCATGTTGTATTCTTTTTTCTTTTTTTTTCTTAAACGCGGTTTTCAGATTTTTGTTCAAAGTGTTGCTTTTTTTAAAAAGAATGGCTAGAATAAAACTTTTTTTAAGCAGAGGGTTATTTGTTTCTTTTGATATATTGCATGTTCAGATATTCATTCAACAAAATATTCTAGGGACCGTTACATTTTTGTGAAAAACGATTAAAAATGTTGGCGGCGGCAGACAATTTTGAATTATTTTAAATGGTGGGAAGAGTTAGGCTAATACACTACAAGAACATATTTTCTTGCTCCCGATGAGGCAAGTAGAAAAATGCTGTTGGTAAAAAAAAAAAAAAAATTGTATTATTATTCTTTTTCATTTATTCAATTTTATTATGTAGGCCTAGGAAATGTTTAGGGTTATGTTTTTGTTTTTTGTTTGTTTGTTTTTTTTAGTAATTTGAGATTTATTTGTGATGGGCATTAAACTATTGCCCGGTTTCACAGACAAGTCTAGACTAAAGTGCATGTTTGAGCTGTTTTAACTGAAAGCAACTTGCACTGACATATCTTAAAATATGTCAGTGCCTGTTTTGTCTAGAGATGAACTAGACCTAATCCTGGTTTAATCTTTGTATCTATCATGCAAAAGCAGCAGTTTTCAGATACCAACACTATTGTAGAAATGCACTTTTCAAAGTCAACCAAGATTAATTCAGTCCACCAACAAAAGTTTTCTTCTGATCTCAACATGTCAACCCCTATCAGGTTACTAAGCCACTGATGACTGAAGCAATTACTGCAACCATTACAGGTGAGTGTACTAGATTTTAAACATATTTTACCAAAAATAAAGTATTTATGTGTAAAACATGTTTTTAAAGAGGGGGAAGTACCATTAACCTTTCAACGCAAGGCAAAGTGAGGACAGGACAGTGGTGATAAATCTCTCTAGCAAGAGTGGAATGAGGCCATAAAGTATGAGAGAACTTCAGTCAAGCGGAGGATCTGAAAAGTAGATTTAGACTTTAGACTCCCGAAAGCAACATGAAAAAGTGATCTTTAGGATATGGGGAGGAAATCCACACCTGAAATGGATATAATGTTTCTGTTTTCTTTTCATAAAGTACAACCTGGAGGACATAAATATTTTAATGAACAAAATCATGAACACACACAGCCTAAAGTTAACCTGCATTACTGAATGCTAATAATGAAACAGTATGTGTAACATTGCACATCATGTGAAAGTTCACAGGAATAAACCAATTTTTTTTAAAAAGGCAAAAACAGCCATGAATATAGGTGACCAAGGCATTCATTTCAAGAAATGGCCGGTGGACACATTTTGCCACTTGCCTTATGTAAAGAGACATTATTTGCAATCTGTTGCTCTATCTTACAAAACAAATCCTTAACAAATCCAAGACTTAAACTAAAACAAAAAGCACTTTCTTGAATCCATCATACAGTTAATAAACACATACAATGTGTCAAATGTGACAGGGTGTGAAATTTATTTGACAAGTCAACATGGCATTCTGTGGATGTCCGATAAATTATGGTTACGGCTGCATTTCAGTGAAAACAGGATATAAAAACAGGATATCGTGACATCAGAGTTCTTGACAACCAAAATGAGAGAACTGTGTCTATCTTTGGAGGGTAAACATGCCATTTAAATAATTGTGGCATGCTTTAATTATCCAACAGAGATATTAAAACAGCATCTGGTTGCACAGGAATGTGTGAAAAAATGATTTTATAATGTCATTTGGAACTATTTCAGATGAACAGCGGTGTTGTCAAGTCTTCACGATGAGATGAACTGAAGATGGACAGTTGATGTCTCACCTCAGCCCTGCTGCAAGTTTTTGCATGGCTGCTTCCCGCTCTTCTGATTTCTGCTGCGAGCGACGCAATTTGTTGCGCAGTTCCTCCAGGTGGTCCAGCGTGCCCACCAGCTCACCTCGAACCGTCTTCATCTGACTCTCCAGCAGCTGTGTGCGGTGGAGGGAGTTGCGGCGGTCTCGCTTGCTGCGCTGGACCTTCTGCTCCAGATCTGACACTAAGACCAGAGCAAAAACACAAGAGTCAGACTCAATACACATTCGTTTTTCAAAATGGAAATCACGAATATAGCCTTCATAAAACGTAGCTACCAAGCTAATAAAAACTTTATCCCACAGTTTAAAATTCAAAATGTCCAGTTTATTAAAGACACCATGGAGAATTTTTTTATGGAATATCGTCCCCTCCGTTTTGCAGCGACATCTCTTCTTTTTTCTGATGTTGTGTTTACTGGCATGAGGGCGGGATTCCTCGCAAGAAATTGACCAATAGCAAACCACAACAATCCAATGATCCAATCAAATCCTTTTCACTCGGATTTATGTCACAATAGGGAAGAAAAGACTATTGCAATTTCTGTTTCATGATGACTTAAAAAAAAATAAAAATAATTCTTGGTTATAATAATTGGTTATACGAACATTAATGAAACATTCCATATGATCATTTTGCAAACATTATGGGAAAGTTACTTTTACATACTCTCAAAGCATCCTGAAACAAGTAATGTGATTTTAAAAACGTTAAACGAACATCCAGCTAAAATGTTTCAGGAAAAAATTTTCATGGAAAATGTACGAATAATGTTTGAACAAATATTTTATTGGACCAATGTTTGTTCATAACTTTGTGAGAATTTTAGCCAAAGTTCTGAGAATGTTCTCTGTTAGCTGGGAGAGTGCAATGCAGAGTAAAAAATGTTTTTTATAACATACATCTTGTTTTATACTAGTAAAAATATGGAAACATACCTAAAACAAAATGTACATAAGAAGTAAAATAAATATTTATATATAATACATAAGACTTTAGAACTGTTGAGTTTAATAGAATATGTTTTGAATTCATTTGATTTTCTTATTTCTTATTTGAAGAAAATGTGTTTAGAAGTTTTGTTTAAAAAGAGTAAAACAAAAATGTAAATTGGATAATACCAATAAATGCAAAATATATTTTCCAAAAACGGATTATTTTACAACATTGACCTTTTTCAAGAATGTTTATATACAGTTTATATATATGGCATTCATTGAAATTCAAGAAAATGTTGTTTTAACGATGTCTGCATATTTATACTGTAAAACAAAATACATTATTTTGACTTAAGATATTATCATGAACACATACCCATAGTGTCACCACATGCTTTGCTTTCTGAATCTGTCTCTGTCTTCTTCTCCAGAAGGCCTTTGGTTTCTTGCAGCATCTTCTCCATATGAGCCAACTGAGCGGCGTTGGATCCGCTGGCCCTGCGGATGAGCAACCGCTCTCTCTCTTTCTCACTCAACTCTTTCTTACACTTACTCATCCTCTCCACAATGCTAGAAAGAGGATTTAACCGAAATTGTGACCTATCCAATATTAAACCTGACTTTCCAAAACAAAGCTATGCTTATTAACCAATCACAACCTTGTCATTCTGTTTTCTTTGAGAGTTTCCCATTGCTTGCTCATTTCCCCCGTCTTTTAGTTCATCTAAAACTTTCTATATCATGCGCGGCAGTTCTGTAACTTTAAGTATCCTTTTTGATGGGAAGGAGAAGATGGTGTTCTTTTATACTTGTCATGGAGAGCAAATTTAGCCAGCAGGCAAACAAGCAACGAGTGAACAGAGAGTTGTGGCAGTCATGAGACCAGCCTGATTCACAGCCTTCAGCAACACAGCCTTTTACACTTCACCACACACTGATGGCGTACAAGGCATTCTGGTTAACTCAACATTAAAAACACATTTGGTCAATAAATGCATGTTACATGTCGACAACCAGGACGCAAATGATTGACATGTGATGAGACGAGAGACTCACTTGCGCAGCACTTCTCCACAACTCTCGAAGACAATTCTTTACCGTTTATTGATCACAAACACTATGTGCAGAACCTGATTTCACCATGTGCACATGCTTCTGGAACAACATTCCAAACAACCAATCAGGTTTGAGGGATAAGTTTACAGTTCATGTCAAGTTTAGGCTAACAACTGCAGGGTTATGTGCTTCTACACCTATCATTTCCCTCTGATTTTATGGATAGGGTAAGGTTTGGGGGTAGGGATATGGTTCGGATTAAATTTTCGGGCAGGAATGTTGTTCCAGGATCAACAAACATGCTGACCCAGGAACATATCTAATGAACGAACAGAAGAGAAACCAGGCCTTTTGTCTGTTCTCAAGAAAGCACATTAGAAAGATCATCATAATGTAATGATTTTAAAAATGTTTAAATATATAGTGCAGTTTATCTCTCACATATCTCATCTGAACAGATCTGAAAACACTCAAGGACTTTAAGACTCTCTCGTCTACCCGAGGGCACCGCAGCAGCTTTTCATGTCAATATGAACAACAAATAAATGTTCTTAACCATAGGCTATTTATCAAAGAAGCCCTGGCTCTGTAGGGCTTCCTTTTATATTCGATCTCTTATTGAGGACAGTGCAGTCACTAGTAATGAAACAGTCTTGTGATGAATCACGAACACTGTTGATAGCATGGTCAGCAGGAGACAAAGGATGGGTGCCTCCCATGCTGGGACAAGAACTGCAGTCTCTGGGACAGCACAAGTACTTTAGAGGCTTAATTATGTAAGTAATGACTAAATAATAAAGTTTAATAAGTGACTAAAGGATTTATGGAGCTCTGCCATACTTTTGTTGATGTGAATGTAAAAGTTGTGTTTACATACTGGTGTCAAGGAGACAGGGTTGTGATTGTTAACTAAAACTAAAACAATTTTCGGTAATCGAAATAAAACTGAAATGAAATAAAATGAAAACATTAGTTGAAAAGCTTGACACTAAAATATTAAATAAATGAAGAACTAACATGACTGAAACTAAAACTGAAATAAATAGTTAAAGCTATAGTGAAACATTAATGACAGAAACATACTAAAACTAACACTTATATTTAAATAAATCATATGAAAGCTAACTAAAATATACTAATAATACTAAAAAAAAGCAAGTGAACACGTGACATTTTTGTTTTGAAATTCCAACAAAATGTGAAAAATAGCCTACTGAGGTTTACCAGTGACCTCACTCATTTAAAAACAATATTTTCATCCAAAAATATGCTTATTTACAAATAAATGAATGAAAGAATAAGTAATTGTATTAAACATTTGAAATACTTAATACTTTTATTAAACACACACACACACACACACACACACACACACACACACACACACACACACACACACACACACACACACACACACACACATATAAAATAGTCAAATCATTTCCGGCCTGCCAGTGTTATTCTGGCTTCCTGATATGAACTGTGTTTGTGAGCTTGTGACTTCTGTGACTCAAACACACACACGGACACAGATTTACCTTTACAGTCATAACCATTCAGATTAATGTCCTTATGGGTGATGATATTGTTATTGTTCTCCATAAACTAAACCAAGGAAATGTTGAGAGGGTGAACCAACAAATGTTTGTATTCATTTGGTAACACCCTATGAACCCATTGACTTTTCAGCAGAACACTGGGAGTATTATGCCATCACAAATGAGATCTATGATTAAAAGAATAGGCAAATTTAGACTCAGGGCCTCAGGCTTGTGCTTTCCTGTAAAATGCTGCCTCTGATAACATTGTTATATCAAGCTAAAAGTGGCCGCACATACAAGGCAAAACATTTTAAGATGTTGTAAACACAGAAAAAAAAAATGTTCAAGGCAAATATATCACCTTGGAGTTTAACATTTACACTGACCAATCAAATCTCTGAAAGTCTCTCCATTGCGCCTATAACACACCTCGTCATTTCTTATCCTTGTCGACGTCGCAGCTTAAATGTGATTCTTTGAAAGAACTTGACTGCTTCATAGGCTGGTTTATTATTTTGCCATTTTCTGAACTTTCTGAATGAAAGTGACTATTTCACTCACAGGAAATGAGGGATAAATAAGGACGTCCACTTTATTCTTCTCGAGCTCTAGACTGCAGCTGCTCCAAGCCTGACCTTCACTACATCTTCATTCCACCTCAATTCGTCCTGACAGCGAAACAGTGGACTTCAGAAACTTCACATGCAATTAAAAAGACAAATGGGTTTAGCCGGACGGCAGCGGGTGTCGCAGTCTTAAAGAGGATTACTGTTTTACAAGAGAACAGATGAGATGGAGATTATGTAACTTGCACCATCAGCCTCCTCAGTTGCTCATGATTGCGGCTGCTAAAGGGGCTCTGTCTCATTGTCATATTATCGAGGTGTCATTACATTCAATTACAAATCTTCTTTCAGGGGAAAATCCTGGATAAAAAAGGTTGATCAGCGACACTTTTTAATGTACAATAAGAACATCCAGTTTTCACACTGAATCCACAGTGACTGAATGATTCAACCGAGAATAATCTCAGCTATTCTCACCAAAAGCATATTTTTTTAACATTCTGCATATTCTTCTGAAAAGGTGCCTTGCAAAATAACATGGGAAGGTCTCCATGGATCTCCTATAACATACCTTTATTTTGAGTAATTGCACTCGATTTTGGTTAAGTATCTTTTTTTATTACCATATAGTCAGAGCATTTTTCTCAAACCATCTGTCGCAGACTGCCATTCTTGTGGTCTTCCTCTTTAACACCACTAGATGGAGACAAAGATAGATACGACCAAAAAGATATAAGGTCATTTTAATGTTACACTTTTTCTGAATTGCTAAAACACTAAACCCCATTCCCTAAACCAAATAAAGCAATTTCTAAAGCAATCTGTCGAATAAATCACTCTTTCTGTAAAACATTGAGTTCAGGTAAAAAACACTGTTTGCAAATCTCATGAACTCTTATTTCAAAACTCTAAACACATTCTCACTCACTAAAACACATTTTTCACTGAGATGCAATTATGTTTCAAAATGCTAAACACAGGCAGGCGAAAGTGAAACACAACTGCGACACGGTTGTCCTCATTTACACACAACGACTCAAAATTGTTTACACTTATTTCTAATGATCAAACCAACTGTAATACAAGTCAGATCATATTCCTAAAATGTACTTAAAATGTTGTCCTGAATGTTGATTACCAACAGTGGATGTAAACAATATAAGAGGGAGAGAAGGAAGAGATGAGGTAGTGTTGTCAAGGTTGGATCTGCTTTAAAGGGACACTCCCATTTGCATTAAGCTTTCCAATGTTAGAAACCCAGCTATTGAATGGACGTGCAACACTCTCTTATTTTCCCCTGAGACGAGAGAAATCAGCTATTTACCTTTTTCACTTCCTCCTACAATGACGCAAAAATCATCATTTTACGTCATGGTAGGAGGAGCTGTTGGGGGGGATTTCTGTACAGACAACAACAAGCACTAGATCCCACCCTTTCAAACCCACCATTGTACTTTTTGAAAAATGGACGAAGATGGATGCATTATGGAGGATTGTGATTACACATAGTGTCAGCCATTTTTTTGGAAGCTAAACTAGCAGGCTCTTGTCCTGTGGAGAACGCTGAGTAGTAACTTTAGGGGTTACCATCCTCTTATTCCCAGACATGTCCGGCCGTCGATGTCCGGGATTCAGCTTTTGCTTTCTGCAGTCGCCATGCATTGTTTACATGCACAGCTTTTGTTTCAATCTAACTGAATTCATTCTGATTGGTGAATCTGACAGTGTTTAGCCTACATGAATGTTTACATGAACTAAAAAAGTGATCAGTTGATGTGCGTTTTAACATTGCTAAGAAAATTCCCGCTCCTCCGTGAGAGATACGAGACTGGTACCTTACGACTCACAGGTGTCGCTCATCTGTAATCACGCCACCAGCGTTGCGTCGTTCTCGACACACCCCTCACTCGTCCTGCTCGCCACAGTAAACATGATGAATGGCGACTGTTGAACGCAAAAGCCGAATCCCGGACATTTTGGGCGATCTCGAAACACATTTTAGGGCAGACTCATCACGGAGACTCATTAGTAGCATTAGGCCGGATTCACATATAGCGCCTAAAACGCGTAGAAAACGCTGGGCGCACCGCATTCTCCATTTTCCAAAGCGCCAGGGCGGTTGCGCTTCAGTTGGTTCTTGTCACATGACCTAATTGTGTGCGTATGGTGCGCTTGCGGTATTCTGAAAAGTTGAGATGTTTTTATCTCGACGCGGCGCGGACGCGCATGGAAAAAATGAGCGCGTCGCACCGCGACCGCATCGCTTCCATTATGAGCGCTTCCATTATGCGCTCTGTAGGCGTGGCCTCCTAGGGCAGCGAAGCAAGTGCATTCTGGGAGTTGTTGTCTTTCATCCACATAAGCCAAAAATACATTTTCTGGCTTTTCTCAGTCTAGAAAGCACCAAATTCAAAAATAATTTCACATTTCTTCTACATAAATTACCCATTTTAAATACACATTCATCTTTCCAGAGGTGGAATGACCCTTTGAAGGGATACTCCACTTTTTTTTGGAAATAGGCTCATTTTACCACTCCCCCAGAGTTAAACAGTTGGCTTTTACCGTTTTCAAATCCATTCAGCCGATTTTCTGATATTTAGAAGTATATCAGTAACCAGAC